CTCCCTCTCCTCCCTTCCAAATTCAACTGCAGTGTGTCAAACGGATGAATAAAAAGAAAAGTGGCAATTTTCCTTTATGTTAATAAATTGCTTTGGTCTAAAAAACATTAATAAATTTCCTTCCAAAGCACACACACTTCTCCATACTCTGCTATTTGCCTGGTCTTGAAAGAAAGTTACTTTCGATCCCCTTTAAATTGTTCAAGACCAGTGGGGGCAGTCACAAGAGGGGAGTGGGGAGCTCCCTAAATCCCAGTGATTATAATGGAACCCTGCTGTGTTTCCATAGAAACACCAAGAGTGTATTCTTCCCTGAATGTAGATGGTGGGGAGGGGTGAGGAGTGATGCTGCTGGTAAGGTGTGCAGCTACTGAAGAGCTGAAGGCTGATGCAAGGAGCTGAGATGGGAAGGCAGAGGACCTAGTGAGGAAGAGTGGAATGGGCCGAGAAGGTGTTCTGTGTGCAGTGATTTCACCTGTTATTGCGTCCCATCTGCACAGCCAGCCAGCGAGGCAGCTAGTGTAACTCCCAAGTTCAACTGAGCCGTGTGCAGAGAAGAAACTTGCCCAGGGTCACCCAGCCAGGAAGTGCTTCAGCCTCCATTCAAACCCAAGAGTGTTCAATTCTGGGGCCCTCACTCCATCCTCTATATTGGGCTGGGCGTCAAGTTGTGACGGTGAGACAAAGTTTCCGTTCCATCTCCTGGTCTTTTCGACCCAGGCCTGCCAGTTCTATACACATTCTGGAATCATCCAGAGCATTAATATCATTTTCTTTTTGAGACGGGGACTCACTCTGTCACCCAGGCGGGAGTGCAGTGGTGCACTCATAGCTAATTGCAGCCACAATTTCCTGGGCTCAAGTGATCCTCTCACCTCAGCCTCCCAAGTAGCTGGGACCATAGCTGCACACCACCACACATGGCTAATTTTTTATTTTTTATAGAGATGGGGTCTTGCTATGTTGCCCAGGCTGGCCTCAAACTCCTGACCTCAAGCAATCCTCCCACCTGGGCCTTCCAAAGTGTTGGGATTACAGGCGTGAGCCACTGCGCCCAACTTATTTTTCTTAAACAGGTATTAGGACACTTGTAAATCTTGTCAAATTCAGCTGATTTGTTGTCATTGTTTGTTTGTTTGAATTACGAAGTCAGAGACACTTCACATATAAGGAGAGGAAGGCAGCTGGTGCATGTGTGTGTTCATATAATTTGGCAGAAGCATATGGATGAAGAACTGGAAAGTAGGAGTAGTTGAGAGAAATAAGAAGTATATTTTGAAAGCAATTGTTATTTAATCACCTATCTCAAACACACTGGGGACAGTATCCACATCTGTCTAACTTACTATTGTGTTCCTGGAACCTGGTACAGCGTCAGGCCCAGAGCAGGATGGACTGATGATGGATGGAATGTTTTGTACAAGAAAATCTTAGACTCCTAAAATCCTAGAGGGGGCACCCACTCTCTTTGGCCCCATCTGGTACTCTATGATGAAGATTGTTTTTCTGCCACAGTAGGGAGGGCAGGGCTATTTCAGGAGCTAGGAGCATTGTGAATATAGATGCTCCCTATCTGTGAACTATGTGCGTTCCTAGTGCTAGAGGGGTGAGAATCAGAGCTTGCAACTCACCATTTTAAAGTCCTTCCTTGCTGAAATGCAGGGGTTGCCTAGGCTCTCAATCCATCTCCTTCAGTTTCCACTAGGATGAATGAGGTTCAGGTGGTACAGACAGAAACCCACTCTACCCTACCCCAGACAAACAGGGGTGCAGTACCAGGTGATGCCTCCTAGAAATAGGAGACTGTGATGTTATGATTATATATGTGTGTATGTGTGTGATCCATCTGTGTGGGGGAATGAATAGATAGAGACAAATAGATGCTAGAGATAGATAGATAGATAGATAGATAGATAGATAGATAGACAGACAGATAATGACAGATGATAGATGGATAATGATAGATGATAGATAATAGATAGATAATGATAGATACATAGATGATAGATGATAGATTAGATAGATGATAGATAGATAGATAGATAGATAGATAGATAGATAGATAGATAGATAGACAGACAGACAGACAGACAGATAGGTTTTCACCCATGGTTCCTGGCTTATAACTCCCATAGCCCTTGTTACAATCTTTTGTTATCATGTTGGGTGAGTTAGGCCTCAGGAAGCAGAGTCTCTCTCTGACCTTCTCCTGTCTTCCTGTCACCTGCCTAAGGCAGGACTCTAATCTGATTGTGGATCAAGAGACTGATTCCAGAGTGGGTTCTGCCCATACCCCGGAGGAAGGAGTGCTACACAGGGGGGCTGAAGCCCCCACACTTTGCCCCACGCATCCCTTCGTCTGTATCCTTTGCAATATCCTTTACGATACACCAGTAAACGTAAGCGAGTATTTCCCTGAGTTCTGTGAGCCACTCCAGCAAATTAATCAAACCCAAAGAAGGGGTTTTGGGAACCCCAACTTGAAGCTAGTTGGTCAGGAGTTCCAAGGGCCCGGACTTGTAAGTGGGGGGAACAAGGGGGAAGTCTTGTGGGAGTGAGCCCCAGTCTGTGGAATCTGATGCTATCTCTGGGTAGATAGTGCTGCAACTGATTTGGAAGACACCAACTGGTGGCCACTGCTTGGTAGTGGGGAGAAACTCCCACGCCTTTGGTCATAGAAGGCTTCTTCTGTGTTGATGATTGTTGTGTGAGAGCAGAGGAAAACATGGTTTGAGAGTTTTTCCTGAAATAGAGACTCCTGAATAAAGAGTCAGTATGTGAGTCTGCAGATGCCTCTGCCCACTGGCCTGGCAAATTCTGGGTTTTGGCGAGAAGGTCTCTAACAGCTACTGATGCCAGCACTGAGGACACAGAGTCACTGGATTGGCAGTGCCAGGAGGCTAGGGAGATTGTCTGTCTACCATTCCTTCCTCAGGAGCCAGAACAGGGCCTGCCACAAAGAAGATGCTCAATAAATGTTTGTCGAGTGACTGGCTGAATACTTGGTGCCTACTCTGTGCTGCATGTTGTATATGCACATAGCATTTAAGCTTCACTGAGATCCTTTGCGTAGGCACTACTCATTTTGCAGATGAGGACCCAACAACCTGGAAGTGGGAAATGACTTCTCCAAGATCTCACAGTGAAACTGTAGAGCTTTGCTTTAAAAACATAGCCTATGTTTCATCCATAATACATAATTCTAATTTAACATAATAACGGCCTATAGGTCATCCAGCCAGGATTATGTTTGCCATAGAGAGGGCAAGCGAGAACAGAAGAGAAGGGATGTAAGTGGAGGAGAAGAAAGTCTGGATGAAAAATACAGAAACAAAACAATCAGATACCCTTTCCTAGTGCTCCCTAAGAACCAATACCCCGTCAGTCTGGCTATAAAACGGGCCCCCTCACCCCTCTGACTCTTCAGCCCTGCCTCTTCCATCTCAGATTCCATCTCAGAATGCTCAGGGACAAGGCATCCTTTGGGCTTCATCCGTCATGCATGGCAATGGCAACATGCTTTGCAGCAGCACAAACTTGGGTTCCCGGCCTGGGAGGTGACATGGGGATAGGTAACAAGGGCAGATGTCCCTTTAATGACAGCTGTTTTTCAGCCCTTTCTGGGTATAAAGTCATTGGCCAGTCATGCCACATCGTAAACCAACATGGGGTCTTTGGTCTACCAGATGCAACATTTCATTTTCCTCCTGGCTACACAAGGAGAATGCACTGTTTTCATAACCACGTTTCCTCCACTTTCCACACTCCCACACTGGCTCTCATCCTTGGGCCTTCTGAGACCCCTGGTATGAAACCAGGTAACAAACACATCGAAAAGCTTAAGAGCTTTCTTATAACATCTTGGCACTGAAAATTCCTCTGTAAGTAAATCCTCCTCATGGAGGAAAGTGGACAATCAAGGACAGAGGGAACCGGTGCTCAGCCCACAGGGATGTCTAAGAGGATTTGTTTTTCCTGCCCCGGCTCTCTGGGTTCTGGGGAGGGTTAGCCAGAGTGAGGAAGCAGGCTCAGCCTCTGAGTCCTGCTGGCCTGACTCCCAGACATGCAGAGGTCACAGGACAGCATCAGCACCCACTCCCATAGGCCAGGCATCTGCTCAACACCCATGTCCCCTGACCTCAAGGACCCTGGGTCTGCGACAAATTCATTTTCACCTCCTCGATGTTTGTGATAATCAGCACAGGACAATGGAGTCTGTATGTTAATGACACCAAAACACCAAGTAAAATAGCCAACAACAACAGCAACAACGAAAAAGAGCATGGGAACGTCCATCATCAGTAGAGGAATATTTAAATACATATATTGAGGAATACTACAAGGCAGTCTTACATGTAAAGCTCTCCAAGATACATCTTTAAGCTGAGATGCAATTCAAGAGCAAGGCATAATCTATTGGTAGAAATTATGTTAATGATGACGATGATAGCGGTAACAGAAGCTAACACATATTGAGGACTTAGCGCACACCAGGCCTACTCTGAGCACTTCATTTATATGATCTCAGTTTACACACATTAATTCCAAAGAAAGCCTTTGAGATAGGTGCTCATATTACCTCCATTTTACAGACGATGAAACTGAGCAGTCAGTTTTCTTATCTGTTCCTCTGCATTATCTCAATTTTTTTAATAATGGTTTTATTAAAGTTTTCATGCATAACACATGCAAAGAAAACCCATTAATGATTAAAGAGAGAGACTGGAGCTAATATTTACAGAACACTTGCATCAGGTCTCACTGACCCTCAATAACATCCCTGTGAGGAAGGCATTACAGGTGCCAATTCAATCAATGAAGAACTAGAGGTTCAGAGAGGTGGTATCACTTTCCCAAGGTCAAACAGCCAGTAGGTACCTAAGGATCTAGGATTTGATCCAAAGCTCTTGTTCTTCCATGTTAGTTGGGGCTGAGTGATGCTAAATCAGTCTGTGCTGATTCGAATTGACTTTCCTTCCTTCCTCTCTGTGTTTTTCAAGTGTAGAGTATGATTTTCGGCAGCAGGAAGGCAGGTTCCATGAAGTTTTGCAGAGTCTGGAGGAAGCAGAGCCAGTCGAGGAGGCATCGCCCCCACCAAGTCCCAGCAAAACCCCAGCCCCGGAAAAGCAGGACTTAAGGCAGAAAACCAAGAAGGTGAAAAAGAAATGCTTCTGGTGGATCTGAGCTGGTTGGGACCATTCCCCAGCCTCCCATCTCCACGTACTTCCCTGAGATGGAAATCCACTGCACTTAAGGTCTGCCCCACTTCTTTGCAAAGGTCCTGGGCTGTGAGCCCTTTGGTCTGTGAAACAGAAGAGCCTTGGAGCTGATGTAGCCGTGCTGGACACCTGACCGCCATCCTTACCTGAGTGCGTGCCACTGCTTCCTGAGGGCTTCACGGACACTAGGGTGACCACTTGCCAAGTTCCCCCGTCACATTCAGCCAGAACTCAAGCTGAGTTGGCAAGTCCAGATTCCACCACGAGCAAAACCCCACACTATACCTTCCAACACCTCCACGATGCTAAGCACTTCCTTTCCATCCTGGGTTCATCAACCCAAAAGAAAAAAAATAGTGTTGTGCAGAGCCGGAAGATAGAGGGATGTTATAGGTTATACACAGGTACCATAGAAAAAATGAGATAAACTGGCAGTTTTCTAAGATATCAGCATAATAAGCACAAGAGAAGTGGGCAGGGCATAAAATGCAGGTTCACCCTGGTATGTTGGGTTGTTTTCCTTTCTAATTGATCCCCTTGATCCCAAATTAAGGCTCTGTCATCTCATGGTGCATGCATCTTTCTGCCTGTGGCAGAGTCAGGCCACCCCAGGGTATAAACTTGTTGGTGGTGTGTGCTGGACAATTGTAATTCAAAGAGGATTTCAGCAGTTTGTAGCTGTTCCAGGGCCCACCCTAAACCATCATGCTTCTTCTCTGCCTGGGGCCTGAGACCACCTGGCAATTGGGTGGAGTCTGTTTTCGGTGTGAACTTTAAGATTCCATAGTTAACTTACCTGCAACATTTAAAAATCATGAGATCCAGCAACCTGTCCATCAGTTACATCTTATGAGTAACATAGATATGGCTAAGATAAAACACAACACTGTTTCTCATCCTTCATCCCAGAAACAGCCATGTAGATAGGTTCAAACATATATTAATCAACACAGACTCCCTTCCTGGTGACCAGGCAATGGTCACCTGATTAAAAAAGTAGCGGGACTGGGGGATGAGGATATAGTTTTTTTCTATTTTAGTTTTAAATACCTTTCTATCCAAAGTCTGAGTTCTTCAAGGTTTGGCTCATTCTTTTTGACAAGACCTGCATACATGTGGACCCAGTCAAGTTTGCATGGCTGAACAAACGACTAAAGTAATATAATTAAGTAATTGCTACATACTCTTGGGGATGAGGGGTAGGATGGAAAGGCTCAGATACCTTCTAGTTGAATTAAATTCTCCATCAGCATGTGGTTAGATTGACATTGCTAGAAAGGGATCCTGAAACTAAACATACATTAAACGAAGAAGGTATTTTGTAATCCCCTTGGCTGAAGATCCAGTGTCTAAACTAGAATCTTTGTAGAGCACAGCGTCCTGTGTGTTTGTGGGATGTACCTACCCCACTGTAAATGGAGCCTAATTGAGCAAACCACTCTGATGGTTTCACCTTCCCCTGTCATAGCAATGCAGTGCACAAAGCTATTTCAGTGAGAATGAAAGGGAAATTTGGCAAGGAATATCAGCTTGCACTATTTAAGTCTTGGAATGTCATTCAAGATGTTCTTGTTCTGTTTCTAGTGTAATGTTTTAAGCCCACAGAATGAGACCGGAATATATAACGTCATGTTAGAATTAAGATAAATACACTTGTCATACTTAAGAAGCACATTTCAGTAAGATATGCTACCACTATCTAAAAGCCACAGATTTTTTTTTTTTTCCTGTATCCATACAATCGACTCTCAGTTGGCCCCAGCAATGGAAAGAACAGAATAGAGGATATCCAATAAGTGAAATCATTTGGGATCTCTTATGTATTTTATCTTGTAGTAGAGCTTCCATCTTAATTTGCTTTGCTTACACTAATTTCATATGAATTTACATTCTCGGGCATCATGCTAGAATGTAAAAAACCCGTTCCTAGAATTAAGAGACCAGGCACAAGCAGTCTATCCCACTAGCCTTTGGCAAATGGCTTAAATTTCCAGGGCCTGTTTGTCCATTCTTGAATAGAGATAAGAACATATGCTCCTTCTACTCTTATAAACTCTTAGCACGTTCCGACATTACGTGAGCTGAGTGACTCAGAGCTGAGCTGGATTACTGGCCAAAGTTAGCCTGGCAAGATAAAGAGATGTTTGAGGTACCTCACACAAAATTAATAAGCTCATGGGTCATAGATATGTTTCAGTTGGGGCCTCACATGAACCCTTAACGGAATTAATAAAAACTGGGACTAGAAAATGTTGACATTTTGTGCACTTCCCAACAAACCAACACAACAAAAAAAAAAAAAAAAAAAGAGAGAGAGGAAATGTTGACATTTTCTAGAAATACAGCCAAAAGGCTATACTGATTTTACACTAAGCACACACCGCATTGCTTGGGCACTGAGCTGGAACTGGGAAGGAGTTATTTCTGAAAAATTGATACTTAAATCATTATGAGGAAACAGGATTCCATAAACATTTTCCTGATGAACAAAAATGATCGTCTCTATGTTTAAAACCATACACAATATAACAAAACTGCATACTCACTTGTTCATGTGAAAATACTGCTTCTTTGTAAAATATTATGTAAATCTACCATGATATTCTACAGAAATGCTGTACTTGAGGTGATCTGGTTATCTGGAGAGGTATTAAATTTAGCAAAAATTACTTTTATAAAATTGAAAGGAAAAGACAATACATCAACTTAAATTGCAGGAGTTTATGTAGCTGCTTTCTCTGTAGTTAAAAAAACAATGCATAAATGTGTACTCACTATCCTTGGAACTTAATACCAGCTCATCTATAGAGTACCTTCTTAAAGACGATGTACTGATGTAAGGTTTTGTAAATTTCTAAACTGTTTTAAATGGATATTATCTTTTGCAATAAACTTACATATTTTTCTAGGTTTTAAGACTCCATTACTAGCTTGGGTTGATTTGGTTACAAAATGTATGCTTAAGAAGCACACCTCAGTGGTCCTAAGGGCAAGTATGGCTTTTGTTATAATTGCTTCTATATATTTCTAAGGGAAATAAATAAAGAGCAGATTCAGAACTTAGTGTCATGATGATCACATGAACCCCGTGTGTCCTGTGAGCGAGGGAGGCAGCATGAATCAATGGAGAGCTGCTCCCAGCCTCATTCCCAGGGATGCACATGCATGACTTGTATCATTATGCTCAGACACCTGAACTCTATTCAGTACTTTTCTTTAATTATTTCCCCTTTAATTTTTTTCCTTAAAAGTCAAATTTGTATCACCAATGTGAAGAAGAACAATATCATGTTCCAAAAATAGAAGATGAAATAAAAATATATCTTATTAAATTCTTGCTAAACCCTGTTGCTGTCGCGGCTGCTAAGCCTGAGACCAGCTCTCTGTTAAGAGGGGATATTAGCAAATATTCAACACATACTAAAGCCGCATTCACACCAAGCCCATTTTCTACTTGACTAATCAGGATGTTTGAGAGAACTGAAAAGAAAAAACTTTCCTCTCATGTGATTCAGTATTCTTTTTCCTGCCTTCTCCACGAACCATTTAAAACCAGCTTGGGTTTACACCTGGAGAGTGAGTCTCCCATTTTGGGAAACCCCAATTTAGAGAAACAATAACAAACACAAACCCTGGACATAGAATCAGAAATCTCGGGTTTGACAGCGTTGTGCTACCTTCTTTTTGCTGCATAACCTTGAGCAAGTTACTTAGCCTCTGTGAGCCTCTGATTCCTCTGATATACCCCCTGCCTCCCAAGAGTGCCTTGACAATGAACTCAGTGACAGCCAAGAGCACAATGTAGGGTACACATCGGGCCAGGCCCTCAATAAATGCATATTCAGTCATTTGTGGATTGAAGTCAATTGGGAGAGAGAAAGGAAAGTAACTCCGTGAAGCTGCAGTGGTTTTCAGAAACAGGTTTTTCTTGGGGCAAGGGAAGAATACTTCCTGTGGGCACGATGGCTCACACCTGTAACACCAACACTTTGGGAAGCCAAGGTGGGAGGACTGCTTGAGCTCAGGAGTTTGAGACCAACCTGGGCAACGTAGTGAGACCCCATCTCTAAAGCAATTAAAAATTAGCCAAGGGTAGTGGCTTGCACCTCTGGTCCCCATCACTCAGGAGGCTGAGGCAGGAGGATAGCTAAACCAAGACGGGGAGGCCTGGAGTGAGCTGTGATCATGCCACTGCACTCCAACCTAGGTGACAGAGCAAGAGTCTGTCTCAAAAAAAAAAGAAGATCCACCAGAAACCATGACAATGAATGTTAAGTAATGTTAAGTAATAAAGTCGTCCATGATTCAAAAGAGCATATGGGCACATAAAATACGGCAAAGCACTCTGGGAATGAAAGATTCTTGTTGTGGAATCAAATATCCTAGAGGTGAAAGAGACTTTAAGAGCCATGTCCCTTCCATTTTAAGCATGAGTCAATTAAGGAAGGCTAAATGATTTGACCAAGGGCTTATAGCAATCCTGTGGGAGTAGGTGTTGGGAGCAATGTGGTTGGTGGGTGGAATGTGTGAGGGGCCGGGGCCATTCCAGGAAGCATGAGGCTAGACTTGAAACCCGTTCTTACCTTCATTAGCTGAGCTGAATCCTCAATATAACCTTCACTTGAAAAGGCTCTCATTTTAAGCTGCTCAAGGCAACTTGCTGTATGCTAAAAATGTATTTCTTTTTATAAATGCCAAGAAACAAAGATGTTTTATGATCACTACGCCCATCAAGCATTGCTTGCAAGAAAAAGTGCGGGGGACAAATCCCAATCCAACACTGTCGGCATTCGGCGCAAACCACGTTT